ATTATTAGAGTTAATGTCACAATATACTTCCAGAGTTCAAGCAAAGAGCATATTTAAAGGGAAAATCAGTCCTCCTAAATAAGTGGTCATCACAGCTCCGCTCCCCGTTAGCTACACGACAATGCAAGCTTGTAACGGCAGATGGGAACAACGCCCTCCCCTCCAGGAACTGAAACCCAGCCTGCCTTTGTTTGGGCTCCCTTTCTCTGCTTTAGATCTGGCCGGGACTGTTTGAGAGCTAACTGAAAAGCGCCCTCTTCTCTGCCCCAACGCCGGCTGTAACATCAAGACAGGGAGGAGACGCCCAGCTGTAGCGCTGAACTATTCTAACTGTGATCCCGGCCGGAAGCAGAACTCCGCTGTCAGCGAGGGTGCGCAACCCCATATGGGATTCATTTAGCCACAAGCCCCAGGCAATAGACTAAGACCGAGGCTCCCTCTCAGCTGTGGAGTCTTGTGAGCAAAAATTCTGCTTTGTGAGCTCCTGGCATTAAAGCTGTGATTTGGCTGCTGCAGAAATTAGTTTGCTCCGGAGCCCTCCTTCCTGAGCCAAGACAAAAAGGTGTGAGCCGGAGGCTAAAAAACTGTGAGCTAGCTCACACTAACTCAGCTTAGAGGGAACACTGATTACGACTTTCTATGGAAGGCTGAGGCCTTCCCCCTGATGTTGCCTCCTGGCTCTGGGATTCAGAGGCCTACTGCCCTGAATGTGGAGGTTCCCCTCAGTCACCAGGGCTAGTAGCCACTGACAGACTTTCTCCTCTGTGAATCTGCCTCATCCCCTTCTAAAGCTATTTATTCCTGTGGCCATCACTGCAAGCTCTGGCAGCGAATTCCACCTTTTAATTACTCTCTGCGTAAAGTAGTATTTCCTTTTGCCAGTCCTGAACCTACTGCCCATCAGTGCAATGGATCCCCCACGAGTTCTAGTATTTTGGTGAGAGGAAGGTCCTTACCCGGGTTCAACCCTTGGCATCTCCACTAAAAAGAACCAGGCAGGAGGTGATGTGAAAGACCTCAACCTGGAGAGCCGCTGCCAGTCTGAGTGGGCAATACTGACTTTGATGGACCGATGGTCCGGCTCCATATACGGCAGCTTCAAATGGTTCATTGCCTCGTTTTAGGATGGGGGCCGTGGCTCAGTGGAAGAGCCCCTCCGTCCCAGGCATCCCCACTTAAAAGGCCCATGCAGTCGGCCATGTCTGAGACCCTGGGGAGCTGCTGCCCATCGGAGCAGACAATACTGACCGGTGCTCCCATATACGCCTCGGAGACGTTACTGTGATGACCCCTTAACTGGGGAGGTCTGGTTTTACTTTAAAATGTTCTTTCTGTTTTGTTTTACTCTGTATATCCGGCTGCCACCAGGAAATTTTAAGGCTTTCCAAACCTCTATAATATATATTTCTATCACTGGGTAGGTAGGTCGGGTCTTTAGGCTTTCAAGGGACTGTGTGTTCCTCAGGATGTATTTATTTCAGAGCTGGTATACGTGAATGAAATAGGATTTATTTAAATAAAGCATAAATACGAGGGTAGAACAATGTAACTAGTAAAGTAGGTATAACACACAGTTTGCTCCCTACCGACAGGGATTTTTCATAGGTAACTTTGTAACACTTTTCCTTCAAGTCCATATAATCTTTACTGTTTCCTAGACTCTCAGCTTTCAGCTTATAACTCCTATAACACAGAACTGAATGTCTCTCCTTTCACACACAAATATTTAACTCAGAACTCTTATATCATACAAGACTGCTTCACTCTTTTCATACACAGGACCAACTTATCCCACACAGGGATGTGTCTCCTTCT